GAACGTCGCGCCGCTGAGGCTGTCCTCGATGCTCGTGAAAGTCGCTTCAACAATCGCAATCTTCCTCATCTCCTTCACGATAATGGTAACTACACCCCCCAGCTTTGACCTACTAACAAACCCTAATTTCAATGGGCTTACTCAGGAAACTTAATTGAAACATGAATTTGCAAAATTGGGATGTAATTTCTATAGATTCAGATGATTGGAACTATAGACCTTCGAAGAGGGCTCGAGCTGCTGTCCACCGGCACCGAGAGACAATGGTGGTGATCCTGATGGAAACCCAAGTTCAACCCAAGTTCTCCAGGAACATCACAGCATGATGTCTCAATGACTGATCAAACAGATGATTATCAAGATGAGGTATGAATCTTTATCTTTTAGTTTCCTCAGTGTTACCTTCATTGTACTAGTAGTGCTAATCGTGTTTGTAAATTCATTAAGTTAGGATGACAATGACGATGAAGCAGAGTTTGAGATGTATCGTATCCAAGGAAGTCTAAGGGAATGGGTTATGAGAGACAAAGTGCGCCGTTTCATTGCTAAGAAGTTCAAAGACTTCTTGCTCACTTATGTCAAACCAAACAGCGAGAATGGAAAATATGTTCGTCTGATAAATGAGATGGTCTCAGGTACTTTTCATTTCTTTTCTGCTGTAGCTTCATAATTTTTTTTTTTTTTACGTGTGATTTTACATCTTTGAACCGTTTTTTTGCCTATGGTGTTTATTTGCAGCTAATAAGTGCAGTCTTGAAATTGATTACAAAGAATTCATACATGTACACCCGAATATTGCCATCTGGTTAGCGGATGCTTCACAACCTGTTCTTGAAGTCATGGAGGAAGTTTCAGAAAAGGTCATATTTGATCTGCATCCAAATTACAAGAATATTCACCAGAAGATTTATTTTCGTGTTACCAATCTACCAATTAATGATCAGATTCGGATCATAAGGTAACTAATATAGTTGGACCTCTTTGGATAGGGATGAGTTTGTTACCATTCACAAGATTTCAACTAAAACCTTTTTGTTTGTGAATTGTCAGGCAGATTCATCTCAACACAATGATCCGTGTTGGTGGGGTTGTCACAAGGCGTTCTGGTGTCTTTCCTCAGCTTCAGCAGGTTAAATATGATTGTAACAAGTGTGGAGCAATCTTGGGACCTTTCTTCCAAAACTCATATTCAGAAGTTAAGGTCGGTTCTTGCTCTGAATGCCAGTCAAAAGGACCGTTTACTGTTAATGTTGAACAGGTACGGATGTTATGATCTCTATATCATTTTCCTTTTGATTGGAATGTGAACGATCGCACTGTTAATTACTCTATTTGTTTCAGACGATATACAGGAACTATCAGAAGCTTACCATCCAAGAGAGTCCAGGAACAGTGCCTGCTGGACGACTTCCAAGACACAAGGAAGTTATATTGCTGAATGACCTTATTGATTGTTCTCGTCCTGGAGAAGAAATTGTAGGTTCTATTATCCGTTACTCTATTAGAATACTTGCACACCAGTATATTATATATGATTGATTTTATCTTTTGTTTTGGTCGGCTATTGATTGATTTTATCGTGCATGACATGTTTTCCAGGAGGTTACTGGCATATATACCAACAATTTTGACCTGTCTTTGAACAAAAAGAATGGGTTTCCTGTCTTTGCCACTGTGGTGGAAGCAAATTATGTTACAAAGAAGCAAGACCTCTTCTCTGCATATAAGCTAACACAGGAAGACAAGACTCAAATCGAAGAGCTATCCAAGGATCCACGTATAGTTGCACGTGTAAGTTGGATAGAAATCGTTTCAATTTGTTCAAATTTAATTTTATCCCACGTAATTTTATTTCAATATCTCTCTCTCATATCATTAAGTCAATTGCTCCGTCAATATATGGCCACAGAGATATCAAGACAGCTATTGCCCTTGCGATGTTTGGAGGCCAAGAGAAAAATATTAAAGGGAAACACAGACTGCGTGGAGACATCAATGTACTTTTACTAGGAGATCCAGGAACAGCTAAATCACAATTTCTGAAGTAGGTATATTGTTTTTTGGCGAATTGATTTCTTGTAACGAGCATTCCACTTATAAAAAATATTTTCTTGTAGATACCTTGAGAAAACTGGTCAAAGAGCTGTCTACACGACTGGGAAGGGAGCTTCTGCTGTTGGTCTGACTGCAGCAGTACACAAGGATCCAGTTACAAGGGAGTGGACTCTTGAAGGAGGGGCTCTTGTACTTGCTGATCGAGGAATCTGTCTTATCGATGAGTTTGATAAGATGAATGATCAGGACAGGTAACAAAATGCAACTAAGAATAATTTACCTTTACTGGAGAAAATTATGCTTATGGCCTATGATTTATTACCAGGGTGAGTATCCATGAAGCCATGGAACAGCAGAGTATTAGTATATCGAAGGCAGGAATTGTTACTTCTCTTCAAGCTCGTTGCTCTGTTATTGCTGCAGCTAATCCAGTTGGTGGAAGGTACGAAAATATCAAAGGCTCCCAATTCACTGGCTTATATTTTATTAGTGTTGTTATATATTTTTGTGCTATTACCATTTCAGGTACAACTCATCCAAATCATTTGCACAAAATGTGGAGTTGACAGATCGGATCCTTTCTCGTTTTGATATCCTTTGTGTTGTCAAGGTCTTTTATTTCTAAACATATACTTTTCATCCTTGTATCACTTATTACGTTAACTTTTTCGGTTATTGACATGAATTACACCCATTATATGGCTGCAGGATGTGGTTGACCCAGTGAGAGATGAAATGCTTGCTGATTTTTTTGTCGATAGTCACTTCAAATCACAGCCTAAAGGTGGTAAAATGGATGATAGCGAGCTCCAAGATGGCGTTCAAGATCTTAGCGGTTCTTCTGATCCCGAGGTTTGTTATTTTCAAATGTAGCCGCTACAATGATGTTTCCATGTCTTGACAGCAGTGTTAAATTCTTGGTATTATCTACAGGTTATTCCCCAGAACTTGCTGAGGAAATACTTAACATATCGAAGTTGTATGTATTCCCTAAACTGAGTGAAATAGATGCCAAGAAATTGGAAACTGTTTATGCTGATCTAAGAAGAGAAACAATGGTAAGTGTTCATGATTTTCATTGGTACTGATGGGTTACCGTCTTTCTTAAACATCATCCCGGCATAATCTCTTGGCCTGCTTAATCTTTTGATCAGAACGGACAAGGGGTCTCTATTGAGACGAGGCACCTCGAGTCCATGATTCGAATGTCTGAAGCACATGCTAGGATGCACCTTAGACAGTATGTCACAGAAGAGGATGTTAATATGGCCATTCGTGTACTGCTTGACTCTTTCATATCAACCCAGAAATTCGATGTCCAGAGAACTCTAAGAGAGGTATGTAAATAGGTTATGTCCAAACGTTTCATTGGAGCTTATTTGGATTCTGATGTCTGAATTGATGGAAATTCGGTTATTCATGTGCAGAGTTTCAAACGGTACATTACATACAAAAAGGACTACAACTCATTGCTGCTCGTTCTTCTCAAAGAGATAGTGAAGAATACTTTAAGTTTGAAGAAATCATTACGGATCAAACTCGGGACTAGCTTCCATCGAGGTTAAGATAGAGGAGCTGCAGGCGAAGGTAATGTTCATGCTGTTCTTAAAACCATATGGGGTTGTACAATTTGAAGTATGGTTCGTATAACTGTTTTTGTCTATATTTGTAGGCCAACGAATACGACATTGCAGATCTACGGCCGTTTTTTTCTAGCACAGATTTTGCCAAAGCTCATTTTTGAGTTGGATCATGGTCTAAGAGTGATCAAATGTCCTAGAAGGGTAGTCACTTGGTAAAACAACAAGGCAAAAGCTTCGAGCTACTAAAAACGTAGGTTTTGTCATTCTTTAGTTTTCACTAGACATTTGAAAATGGTTGGATTTTAGAAGAAGGTTTCGTTTCAAGTTAAGATTATAAGTTGTTTTAATCTTTTAATTCGGTTTGTCTACCTTTTCATCTAAACTTTGAATCTTAGGAATACAAATGCTTGATACTTAGTTTGTATTTGCTATTTGACTGTGTTTAGTTTAAAAATATGATTACTTGCTACAATCAAATTGAATAACAAATAAACGATTTTATTGCTCACAAGTATAAATCAAATATATTTTTAACTATTTGATTTATTATTTGTTATCATTTACTTGTTTTATTATTTGGTTTATTAAAAACTTGATATTGATTTTAGTTAATTAAAATTTATGTATTACATTATATTGGTGACCACAATTACTCGTTGTTTACCTCTTATTTTAGTTGATGCGTACATAATCTTTAAATATTAGTATTTGTTCTCACTAAGTTAAGTATTAAATAATTTATTTAAACTATTTGTAAATACAAAATAAATATTAAATATTAAACAAAATTAATTACTTAATGTTGTTTTGTTTGCTATTTGTGTTTGTTAATAAACAAAAATACATTTTCTTAAATCATAGTAAAATAATTCATTCCTATTTCCATTTTCATAAGTACATAAAACATAAGTGGTATATTTATATATAAGCATCTTGAAATTTTTCCTTTCTTACATTATTCTATTTTCTGAAATTAAATACAAAAAAATAATGATATATTATTTATATAATAAATTTATTTAACTTTAAATTTTAAAGAATTATCGAATAATTTATCAATAATTATGAATGACTTTGTAAGTAATTTACAAGTAACAAGTAATAAAATAAGTCAAATAATTTTCAAATCGATCAATTTTATGTAAGTATTTAAAACTGCAAGTACTTGTTTTTAAGAAACCAAATACAAATCAAAACATTTACTATTCATACAAACCCAAGTGAGTACTAAATATATCAAAAATACTGAGTATTCGGCTTATGACCACCCCTATCAGGAACCTCTTTGACGAATTAGTCTCTATTTTTTTTTCACACACCTCTGACGAATTAGTCAACCGGCTTTGAGTTGGTTATTAGATTTTGTTACTATAACTTTAACTAAGATATAATAGAATTTTGTATATTCGAGAAAATGGCCAAAAAGTCCCCACGTTTAAATAGCTACACAATACTCAAGCTTTCATCACCTATATCAAATGATATTTAAAAACAGCTTCCTCTCTCTAAAATCTCTTTTCTCTCTGCCCCGACTCCCAATGAATCTCATGGGCACGTCACCTTCCCTCTGCCTCCCTCCTTGGGTTTCCCTATTACCCACCGGGTGTTTCCTTCTTTAGAAAGTTGACTTCCCCTGCCATTACCTGCATTCTCACCAACCCTGTTTTTTCTTCCTTTTCGAGTAACTTTTCAAAATGCTTAACCGTTGGACACCCTGCCTCTCCGCTTGGTGCACATGTACGGACGGTGGTGCACTCTAATCTCTGTCTCTTCCAAGCTTGCTTTTACGCTACCAAGCCTCGTTTCTTCCTTATCCAACGGCGCAACACCCACTTCAACCCCTGATACATTAAGCTCAGTGTGAGAAGAACCCTGAAGAAGTATGGATACTAATACAACGTGTTAAGCGATAAGTTTCACAACAATGCAAGCAGGATATGGTCTCGTTTTTTACAGACAACCTACACTACTAGTAGTGTATTGGTTCCTGTTATAAAACTGAAACCAGTAAGAGTTAATTGTGTGCCTCTCCTTTGCTAGGTCCCAGCTCCTACAAAGGAGACTTTTACCGACGGTGATTTCTTTTTCTGGAACTCCTACCAGAGCCAAACCTCTGAAGCATACCATCCTCCTTTAAACATGTCAAACACTTACATCAACCAAAATCAAAACTCATACCGACTTCAAGAGGAAGAAGATGACGACTTAGTTATCTTACCCGAGGTGGATAACTCAGAGCTTATTGCTCAGTTCAAGCTCAGTTTGGTGGGAAGATTGTTTAACCGTGAGCGAAGAAATGTTGATGCCCTAATATCCCTCCTCCCAAGACCAAATATCTGGGATGTGGAAGGACGAGTGCATGGCATTGATTTAGGTAACCACCGATTCCAGTTCGACTTCGAATCTGAAGAAGACTTGATGAAAGTGCTTAACAAACGCCCATGTCACTTCAATAAATGGTCGTTTTCCTTGGAGAGATGGATACCCCATGTTGGTGATACTTTTCCACATACCATGACCTTCTGGATCTGTGCAACGGGTATACCAACTCATTTCTGGCTCGAGCCCATCTTCAGAGCCCTAGGAGAAAAACTCGGAACCGTGGGACCTGTTGAAGCCAAGGCTGCAAAATTTCAGGTTCAGATCAACGCTGATCTACCTCTCAAGTTCGCACTTAGAGCTAAAATTCCATCCGGAGAGATCGTACCGGTTAAACTCGAGTATATCAACCTCCACCGTTGGTGCTTCCACTGCCGCCACATCTCCCACGAAGCAGATTCTTGCCCGGAGCTCACTGATGAACAGAAGAAATCGTTTAAACAAGGGAAAGAAGCTGACAGAGATTTAGATAAACAATCTCGCAAAGATCCCTCTAGGAGAGAGGAACTACCTCGGAGGCAAGCTGCTCTTGAAGGTAAGTCAGATAAGTTAAAGGAAAGACACACTTTGGATGCTTCACACAGGGATATGAGGGACAGCGTATGGAAGCGCATGGAACCTCGTCTCAAACCCCGTGATGAACACTATCATGAGTCTCGTCCTACATACTACTCTAAAGGCAGAGAAAATGATAACCGAACCAAGAGCTCGCTTGATAGAAACTCTCAAGATGCCAATGCCTATAACAAAAGACGTTACGAAGAATCATATAACTCCAGTAAGCAAAGAGAGAAGGAGAAAAGATTAGAAACTAAAGCGAACCTGTCTCATGCCTTGACCGTGAATGATCAACAGTCGGGAAGCAACCATGCCCTGCCTGCTAAAGAAACAATCCCAACACGAAACCAAGACGTTCCACAAGGGTCAAGTGCTCGCTATGTCTCACACTCTCCAGAACACCTACGAGAACGGCCCTTCAAACTCTCCATTCAAAAGAAATCCTCAGAAGGGGATAAGTTGAATGGAAAAGCATCAGACCTCATCGAATCCTCTGAAGCCGGAAGTTCAGCAAAAAAAAGCCTCACTTTTGATGATGGAGCCAATCACAACCTACGTGAAGCTGCTCTGAAAGCTCCTTTGTTCCCTGAAAAATTAATTTCTAAGAATTGGTATGAACAAACAGTTGAGGAAGAGGAAGAGGAAACTCTGGAGCAGGAGCCACAATTTACCTCGACGAGATTGCCAGAAAGTCGGGTTACGGAGATGGAGGATCCGGACGCAGAGAAGATTCTTGAGGAGGAAGATTGGGAACTCTACGGAGAAAATATGGAATCAGAGGAGTTGATGGAGGGGGATGATCTCTTGATGGAGGAGGAGGAGGAAGCTCGAGTTCAAATTCCCTCGACAGAATTGGCCACGACAGCTTTAGATCCGGGAAAGCATGATACCCCCTCCTGGTGGCTGGGAAGCCCGAAGGCGGAGCTCCCGGGCCATTTCACGACGATGAATCCATCGCACTCCGCTCGATCGCCTCTGGTGGAGAATGCTCGGACAAAGACGACGACAACGAAGAAGAAGGTTTCTCCAGGACAGCTTGCGGTGGGCCTTTCGCTGAAGAAAAGAAACTTCTTCGTGGGCCGGGCCTCACCAAAATCAACAGGCTCCAGCAAGAATCCTTCAAATTTCACTGATGGGCCTTCTAAACCTGGGCCAGAATTGGAAAAAACAAAAAACTCTACAAAAATCAAACACTCTTCAACAAAGGTGGGAAGCAAGAAACCGCCAACGATTCCAAAATGAATACTATTGCGTGGAATTGTCGAGGGGCGGGAGCGCCCCTAACAAAGGAACATCTTAATGAGTTGTACTGTTGTTTTTTACCTAAGTTTTTATTTTTATCGGAAACCAAAAACAATCGGGAATTCTTGCAAGATGTGCAAGTTTCCTTTGGTTATGATCATGTTTGTACCGTGGATCCCATAGGCCGGAGTGGTGGCCTTGCTTTGTTTTATATGGATGATCCCTCAGTCTGTATTTTATATGCGGACGAGCATATTATTGATATTAAAACTAGATTTGAAGGACACACGATCTTTATGACCTTTGTGTATGGCCATCCTGAAGTTAGATACAGAGACTTAGTATGGGAAAGACTTTCACGTATTAGTACTACTCGGAGTGGAGCGTGGTTCATGACTGGAGATTTTAATGAACTTACCGGCAACCATGAGAAGAGGGGAGGACGACGCCGTCCAGAGTGCTCTTTCCTCCCCTTCCGTATCATGTTAGAAAACTGTGGGATGCTTGACTTCCCATACAAAGGGAACTCTTTCTCATGGGTTGGAAAAAGAACAAACGGCAAAGTTAAATGCAAACTGGACCGAGCAGTGGCAAATGAGGATTGGCATGCTCTTTTTAATCACTCTAAAGTAGAATATCTCCAACTTTGGGGCTCGGATCATAGACCGGTCCTCACACGGATACATTCCACTGTCCAAAGGCCCAAGAAGAAAAACTTTAGATTTGATAAACAATGGATAGGGAAACCGAGTTTCAAGGATGCGGTCATCTCGGGATGGGGACAATTTGAAGAGATTCCAATTCGGAGTTTTCATCAAAAAGTCACCTCATGCCGAAACAAGATCAGCTCTTGGAAGAAAAATACTCCGACTAACTCAGCCATACTGATCCAAGACTTGAAAATTAAAATTGATCTAGCCCAGGATGATGAAGATTCGACTACGGAAGAACTTGAAGATCTACAAAGACAACTGATTATGGCCTTTAAAGAAGAGAACACCTTCTGGGAACAAAAAAGTAGGGATCAATGGCACAAACATGGTGACAGAAATACAAAGTTTCACCATGCCACGACAAAACAACGCAGAGCACAGAACCGTATTATCAGTATTAAAGACAAGCATGGGAAGTTGGTAGAGAGCGAAATCGAAGTGGAGAATGTGGCTATTCAATACTTTCGAGATCTCTTCTCCACCTCTTCACCAACAGAGGTTGATACCTCTTTACGGTTCATTGTCCCCAAAGTCTCCCAGACCGATAATCGGCTACTCTTAGAGGAACCGTCGGAACAAGAGATTAAACGAGCCCTTTTCGATATTAACCCAGACAAAGCACCGGGGCCGGATGGAATGACTAGTAAGTTGTTCCAAAAGTTCTGGAACGAGATGCGCCCAGATATCGTTAGATTTGTTCGAGATTTCTTCGCCTCAGGCAGCCTGGATCCTTTGCTGAACCAGACAAACATTTGTCTCATCCCTAAAAAGAAGAAACCTAGGGAGATGTCTGAGTTCAGACCCATTAGCCTCTGCAACGTTAGCTACAAGATTATCTATAAACTTTTATGTAAGAGACTTAAGAGGCTAATACCTAATTTGGTCTCAGATACACAATCAGCCTTCGTGACGAAACGGTTGATCACCGATAACATACTGATCGCACAAGAGAACTTCCACGCTCTGAGGACTAACCAGAGATGTAGGGAAGACTTTATGGCCATTAAAACAGACATGAGTAAAACCTACGACAGAGTGGAATGGAGCTTCCTAGCCACCTTGATGCTAAAGATGGGCTTTGATGCAAGACTGGTTGACCTCATTATGTGCTGTGTCACGTCGGTCTCATATCAAGTCCTGATTAATGGCCAACCAAGGGGACGGATCATACCAAGGAGAGGTTTGAGACAAGGGGACCCACTCTCCCCCTTCCTGTTTATCCTATGTACAGAAGCTTTGATCTCACTCCTCAATGGAGCAGAAGTGGAAAAAAAGCTTACTGGACTCCGTGTGGCTCAGGCGAGCCCACGTACTTCCCACCTTCTCTTTGCTGATGATAGCCTTTTCTTCTGCAAGGCAGATGTAAGCCAATGCAGAGAGATTATGGAGATCATCAATACTTACGGGAAAGCATCGGGACAAAAATTAAATGCGGCCAAATCTTCAATGTTCTTTGGGAACCGAGTAGATTTCGGTAGGAAACAAGAAATAAAGGAGGTCTTGGGCTTCGCGACAGAAGGGGGCATGGGAATGTACCTCGGATTACCTGAATTCATTGGTGGGTCCAAGACAAAAGTTTTCTCCTATGTACAAGACCGAATGAATGGACGGGTGAATAACTGGTCATCACGACTACTGTCCAAAGGAGGGAAAGAAATTCAGATTAAAGCAGTGGCACAAGCAGTCCCGACATACCCAATGTCGTGCTATTTGATCCCACAAGGCATCATAGATAAGATGAGGGGAACGACCTCAAATTTCTGGTGGAGCTCGAGAGAAAACAGCAAAGGGCTACATTGGATAGCATGGGATCAAATCTGTACCCCTAAAGATTTAGGGGGATTAGGGTTTCGTGATCTCCATGATTTCAATTTAGCACTTCTTGCGAAACAACTATGGAGACTGATCCACTATCCAAATTCTCTGCTTGCACGTGTGCTGAAAGGAAGATACTTCAGGAATAATTCACCTCTTGAAGACTGCCAGACATACTCACCCTCTTATGGGTGGCGTAGCATCATGGCAGCAAAACCCTTACTTATCTCGGGGGTGCGAAAGAGAATTGGCTCGGGACGTGATACAAGGGTGTGGAGCGAAAACTGGATCCCCGATGTAGTGGCCCGACCACCTAAGCCTGCAGATCACATAGTCTATAGATTACCCCAACTCCCCGTTCAGGCCCTTATTAGGAATGATACCGGGGAGTGGGATATACAACGCCTACATGATTATTTTCAGCCTGAGGAAATCACCCTAATACTTGGGATAAAACCCTCCCGATCATCTGCTCCGGACGGATATGTCTGGAATTATACAAAGACAGGAGTATATTCGGTTAAGACGGGCTATGATCTTCTACAATCAAATAAATTAAACCCCTCACATGGGCTGGTTTTGCAACCAAGCATCACCGCTCTCCTGAGCTATGCGTGGAAGGTTGAGGCTCCAAGCAAGATGAAGCATTTTTTGTGGCAAGCTATTTCGGGCTGCGTGGCGACAGCAGAACGACTCACTTACAGACACCTGGGCACCGATAGGAGTTGTCCTAGATGTGCTGACCCAGTGGAGTCGATCAATCACCTCCTTTTTGAATGCCCCCCGGCCCTACAGGTCTGGGCTTTATCGGACTATCCGTCCATTCCGGGTGTCTTCCCGAGTACATCTATTTACCAGAATATAAACTTCCTCTTTTGGAAGAGAAAAGAGGTGGCTCCCCGGAGACCACAATTCGATATCTTTCCATGGATCTGCTGGTTCATTTGGAAAGCGAGGAACGACAAACTTTTCAACGGGAAAGTCATCTCCCCGATGGATACCCTCCGGCATGCGTCCCTTGAGGCAGAATGCTGGAGAAAGGCAAATGAGAGAGAGGAAGACGATGAGGTACTTGCTAGACCTCCGTCTACAGAAGCCGCTTTAGAACCCTCAGAACCCTCTGGGCTATCCCGAATCCCTTCCTGCCAAATTGATGCTTCATGGATTGATCATGGCAGGGTATGTGGTTTAGGGTGGAGCTTTAAGAATCAGATGGGGTCGGAGTGGTTTGGACTACGAGCATGCAACAGGAGCCGTTCCGCCTTACACGCAGAGATGGAAGGGCTGCTATGGGCAGCTTCATGCCTAAGAGACTTGCGGATCCCCGAGATTCGGTTTGAAACGGACTGTTCGGACCTCGTGGATATGAGCATAAACCCGGAGAATTGGCCAGCCTTTGCCACGGAGATCGAGATCCTGCAGAGGCTTCAAGAGGGCTTCGACGATATGCGGCTGTCTCATATTCCCCGAAGTTTGAATGGCCGAGCTGATGCACTAGCTAAAGAAGCAAGAAGGAAAGGAGTTGTTTTTTCCCATATAGATCAGACCAGGCCAGATGGAGGTCCTCTTCGGAGAATCGACTCGTCTGTCTACCAATTGATCTAAACCAAATGGGTGGCGGACAAAAAAAAAAAAATATCAAATGATATTTATTTCCAAACTAACATATTATTATTTTAATTTTCTTTGAAAAATAACCAGATAAAGAAACTATTTCTAATAACCTTGGACTTTTGACTTTTATAATAACAAAGAAGAATGTGGCTTTTATAATTTAACCAAGTTTCAGGATATCATAAATTATTTTTTTATAATTTTGTGATTTCTTAACTTTCTTTTTGCATCTGCTACATTTTAATTAAAATACATTGATGATATATAATTAATAAATACAAAACAAGAAAGAAAACATTTGTGTGAAACAACTTTTATGTATCTCTGCCTAAGTAGCCTTTTTGTTTAACTTTGGCTTCTTAAATAGTTTATATCTCATCATCCCGAAGATTTTATAGAACCAAAATATACTCACGAGTTGTAATCCGGATCCCATTGCCTGTAAGAAAATAAGAAACTTATAATTGAAGTATCATGTCCTAGTTACAAATTTTGAGTAAGATCGATAAAATTAACATCATAACATTTTTTTCTTTTATTCATTAAAACTAGGTGTCTTTAACATGTTAATCAGAATAAAGAAGAAACTGATAAAATCAAAATATCAAAGAGCAAAACGAAATATATAATATATAAATAAATATCAAGCCTTATTTTCAAAAAATATGTTTTTCTTATTTTCACACATTAAAATTTATTAAATTTTAACATAAATACATCATTTTGTGACTAATTATTGATACTAATTTTAAGCATTAAACATTTTATATTTCTGTTTTGAAATTTACTATAGTTAATACTATATAACAAAACTTTATAAATTTTTAAAATTTTATTTTACGACAAAATTCTAAGGATAATTAAGTAGATTGTTGAGAATGGAAAAAAAAAAAACGGGGTAGTTGGGAAAGACAGTAGAGAATACCTTGATGAAGATGGGATTATCTGCTGTCAGACTTACGTAAACGAGAAAAGGTCCACACACAATTCTTGCCAATGTGAAAATAGTAGCAAAACACACCTATCAATAATTAGTGTAAATAATAATAAATTAAAACGCTTTTTAGAAACTTTAAACAAAAAATAGATTTTACAACTGAAATGCTGACAGAAGTCAGTACAAAGAAGTAGATTTGGGTTTTACAGGAGGACCTTACGGTCCTTATCTAACAAAGAAATCTTCAACTACTAACCATATTTGTTAATAATTGCAATGAGTGTTGGCCCCCAATCAAATGATTTTGATTTTTCAAAAGAATAATAAATAAAATAGATTAATATAGACGTTTTAAATGATAAGAATACTACAAGCTTCAAGAATTTGTATGGGTTTCAATTCATGATCTATCCTAGCTAAAAATAAAAACTAACGCCCCAAAAACCACTATTTTATTTACTATTTCTCATAGAACATGTACATTGGTTTTCTGAAAGAAGAGAATTGTTTTGTTTGCAGTTAGCCTTAACTGATGACGGGAGATAAGTACATTAACCTGCTCTAGTTTCTGATTTCTAGTCCCTGCTCTAACGAATTTCCTTGAAAAAATATCAATACGTCATTATGATTTTGTATGGTCTTTTTGATTCGTCTTATAATAATTGCTAGTTTAGTAATTGTAAGAACACAAAATTTAAAGGGTTTCAAATATATTTATACTCACATCGGCTGCTAGGTTGAGGCTGGTGTCTCTGTATCCAATCTCTTTGAGAATCTCCCTTAAATGGTAAAAAGGACTTGATATCTCAGCTATCCACAGTGTAGCTATGATCTCAGACCCAGACTTCCAAAATAATTTGTAACAAAATTAGTTATCCAAAATCTCATATAGTATCTTGTAGTTAACAATGAAAAGAAGAAAAAAGGAACAATGATACCTTTTGGTAGGCAAGCCCAGCAACAAACCCAAGAATGCTGACAAAATGATGAACAGCATTGTCAATGCTTATCACTTGATCGAACTGACAACATATTAGATCGTAGATCATGTATGATAATGAAAATGCCATCGTATCCATCTGCTTGTGTTTCATCTCTCAGTTTGTTTACACGTGCAAAACGAGTTACTATAATAATTTAAAATAATTAAGAATGCATAATGTAGTTATGAACCTGTTGGGGAGATGGCTTAGAAGCACGGGGACAAACAGGGCAAGACCAATCTTGAACAGAGAGAGTTGCCAATGTGACAGCGACTGTCGCGTGAACTGTTGAGAGAAGACGGTTGCAGAAGTCGAAGGAGTAACTTGAGAAGATTTTTCTGGTGAGAATAAAGCTCACACCCCATACGATTACTCCAATAACAATTATGTTAATGACTCTTATTTGTTCTTCCTCCATGTTATCTTCTTTCTTTCAATCCAAAAATTATATTGGTTATTTTTGTAATGACGAGAGAAATATAGAGAGGATGAAGAGAGTTGTGAGTGTTGTTAATAGGCTGACATTATTGGTTGTATGTTAGTTGGGAACTTGAAGATTCAATGTAGTGGATCCCAGAGACATTAATTTTTTTCGTGAAACTGATGTCATAAGTCACCTAAAAAGATTCGATCCAACTTTTTTGGAAATGCTTCATCAAGCTCACAATCAGCCAAGTATTTGATTAACTTATTGATCTTTTTTCTTTGCTAGAGTAGACATCATGTTCTTAGTGGGTTTATTTAATTTATATTTTGAAGTAATTTAACATTTAATAAAACTTTAGATAATATAAATGAATCTAAAATTTATTATGATGTTTATTAGACTACTCCAGAATTACATTGTAAATTATGTGGGTGTATAGAAATGAAAGTTTGAAGTAGCTTGTACAGTGAAACCTCTATAAATTAATAATGTTGGGACTACATCAAAACTAAATTTTTTATTAATTTATAGAGATTATTAATTTATCGAGATATTAATTGAACCAAAAATTCAGTTTGGGACTATGAAATTATATTAATTTATAGAGATATTAATTTATAGATTATTAATTTAAAGAGGTTATACTGTATATATATTGTAGTATTAAGTGCTTTGTATTAAAATGACAATTTTAAAGGTTTTCTTATAAAAAAAATTATTGGGTTTTATGTTACATAAAAAGCAGAAAGAAAATAGAGAAATCTGAAGAAAGACACTTATATGAGAATTTAATTTGAAAATTGCACTATGATTTCACTTATATATATATATGAATTTACTAAAATATCCAATCTAAAAGCTTAATATTAGTATTAATATTATATCATTATAATTTATCTAGTATTTAATTAACAATTTTAACAAGAATAAGATTTTTTTTTAAAAGAAATCACTACAATATCTACACGATATCTTCTTAAGTATATCTACATAATTATTTGAGAACAAGCTAACGTCGTCTCATCTTCTTTTTTTTCATGAAATTTTGTTCAAAAATCCCTGAAATTTTATTAAATGGTCAATTCTATAAAGAGCACACACAAAATATAAATTATAACTTTTGGATACACTAACAGATATGAAAATAAATTATACAAAATTGTTTTAAACCACTTTCATGGTTCTACTTCACTTTTCACCAAACTATCGTTTTCTTTCATCACTGTATAAAGCACACCAGTAAAAATCAGATACTCCAAATAAGAACATTTTAAAAAAAAAACTTGCAAGAAGAAGAGGAGGAAGAAGAGGAAGAAGAGGAGGAAGAAGAGGAAGAAGAAGAAGAAGAAGAAGAAGAGGAAGAAGAAGAAGAAGAAGAAAGAAGAAAGAAGAAGAAAGAAGGAAGAAGGAGAAGAAGAAGAAGAAGAAGACGAAGAAGAAGAAGAAGAAGAAGAAGAAGAAGAAGAAGGAAGAAGGAAGAAGGAAGGAAGGAAGGAAGAAGAAGAAGAAGAAGAAGAAGAAGAAGAGTTGTTGAATGTGTAAGGTTAGTTCGTTGACCTTACTTGTAAGAATAGTCTAATTACGAGCAGTGTGACTAGTTTAAGAGACTCTAGGACATAGATTAATGGGTTAGATGGGTGTAAGTGAGTGGAGATAGTAGAGCAAACTACTATAAGTGTGTGTTGTGTTGTGTTGTTGTAAGAAAAAGGTATCCAACTCTAATAAGAAAACTAGTTGGAGATAAATAAAAATGTAGACATCAAATTGTTCTTTTCTCTCTACTATAATACAAACGTGAGAATAAAGAGAAAGAGATTTTGTAACATTCCAAATTGTGATATGTAGAAATAAGAGAATTGATTTGACTATATATATATATATATATATATATATATATATATAGATATCACCAAACTTGACTTACATTTTCCGTCATACATCTATTTAGAACTCCAAGGTTAAGCGTGCTAGGACTAGAGTTGCTGGGACTAGAGTAGTGAAAGGATGAGTGATATATTGGGAAGTGTTTCGCAATACCGTGCGAGTGAGGTCAAAGCACGTGGAAAGGTCTAATGGTGATTGTAGGGTCAGTAAACAATAATTTCGAGCCTTTAGAAAAATTAACGGACCAGCCGTTGGAACGGGCTGGGCCCTTGGGCTGAGAGATCGGATGTAGGTGACCATTAATTGTAGGCGGTCAGGACGTTATAGATTTATACTTGTGTTAAGTTGCAAATGAGTATAAAACAGAGTGAACAAAAGTATAAAACAGAGAACAATGAAAAAGAAACTTGCCATGATAAGAGGAGAGGTCAAGCCAAGAAGAAACATAGAACAATGAAAAAGAAACTTGCCATGATAAGAGGAGAGGTCAAGCCAAGAAGATAGAATGTTAACAAGAAATTAGTAAAGGAATAGAAACATTACAGAAAAAGAGTAAAATAATAATAATAATATTATTATTATTATTAATAATAATTTGGAAATTTTATGTAATTATAGAAATATTTGATCTGGATAAACGTGTCTTTTTATATCTAACAAAGTGTTATTTTCAAAATATATATAATAAGGTTTAGTTTTCCAACTTCAAACAATTAATAGAGTATTTTTCAACCTATCCCAAGAAAATAAGTTAAATAACAGTAAACCAAAAAATTACAGAGGATTAAATAAACCTCTAATGGGCTTGATTAAAAAATCCCAAACCAGGTTTAGCTCACAAAACTGCTCATACCCGAGAATCTTCAAAAATTTAGATTCACTTAAAATGAAGTCCTCGCTGCAAACACACACTTACCGATAACAAAAATCCGACAAGACTACCGTCCTCTAAAGATCCAGACATGCATGATGCCGCACCTAAAGCCACCGTCGGACAAGACCATAAAACCAAAGAAGCCTTCACCGCCACACCAAACCACAAGAACCATGCATAAGTAGAGACGAAAATGAAGCACCAGCAGGGAAAAGAGAAAAAAAACAGGAGGGTCCTCAGGGAACCGACGAGGTCGCCAGAAACCCAAGGGTTCACAACGCGCCGGAAGCGTAGAGTTAACTGCATTTGTAGAAATTATAAAATAGTAATGTAAATAAAATATTTAAATATTTGTTATTAGTTTTATGTGTATGATAAAAAAGGACAATTTAGTCTGTAAATAAAAACATCTAACATGATTTTACTATGCTAAATTTGAAGTTGATTATTAAAACATGATGTTACATATATATTAATTAAAATATATATAAAATGAAATTGGGTTATGTTGTTTCACATAAATATACAAAACCTTAAATTTATACAATATAACTCATTTAAATGGGACAATCAAACTAGTGAAAACAACATTATAATTGATTGCCTAATGTTGGGCCCGAATTTAGCCCGTTAGCTGAATTAATGGGCCAAATAGTAAGAGCCGTTTGCGAAGCTTTACGAGCCCATTAGGAAGCCTCCCCTCAAGTGAGGGTCAAATAAAATCGTTACCTATCGATAAAAACAGGTCACAGCCAAAAGACTCGAGACCTCATTTTCAAAACAGTTAGCAAGAAACAGCTCCGGAGAGACGTGCAAGACTTAGTCAAGCGGAAGCTGTTGCGAATCCCGCAACTCATGGAGATAATCACGGAGGCTTCGTCGGGAGA